TCAAACTGGCACTTAACCCAGGCTCTCACTCTCTGTTACACTGGCATCTGCATACCTCCTGTTCTGTTCCTCTCACTGGTATGAGTGTCTTTTCTGTTCATGCATCTTTGATGAAGACTGTTTTCCTGTGTGAACATCTCTCTCATTGGGCAGAGCACTCTGATGCTGGATTTGCAAATGAGTATGTCAGAGAGAGGATATGAGCATTATTTCAGTTTCTACCAGTCTAATATTTATTTGAAATTGGACAGTTGTACAATGAAATCATAATATGTGGAGTTTTTCTTAGTTTATGGATATATATATTTCTGTTTAATTTCCAGGCCAGTACTCCATGTATTCTCTTCATTGATGAGATAGATGCCATCACGCCCAAGAGAGAAGTTGCATCCAAGGACATGGAACGGAGGATTGTAGCCCAGCTTCTGACCTGCATGGATGGTCAGTTCTCAACAAAAACTTTGTGAAATTACATTGTCAAATCTAGTTTTACTGTTAATACATTTGCTCCCAAACAATATTTCAATTGGATTATCATGGAAGGTTGCAAACACCAGATTTCTGATTAGCAGCTCTCTTTAAATAGCAGCAAATTCCAGAAAAATGTGCAGCAAACAATGGAGAGTTCTGTGGGTCCTGAATTTATGGCAAAAGATTCCATGTGCTAGAGCCCAGTTCATCAAAGCACAGTGTAGTCAGCAAAGTGGGTGTGCATACATACCCTAAGTACAGAGTGAAGAAGGGGCAAAAAGGTTTTAAACGAAATTATTCCAGAAATCCAAACACTGCATGAAAGAATGGGTATGTCATAGCATGATGTACAACACATACTGTGTAAAGTAAATTCAAGATCTAATAAAGGATATGGTCCTGTCTAGTAGCCACTGGTGTTATGTATGCACAGCAAGATGAGTAGTGTTAACAGCACCTGAAAAATAATTACTATAGCTATAGGAAGCTAATGGTTCCCAGGATTTCTTGAGACCAGATCACATAGTAGCACTCTTGAGAGTGGCTGCAGAAAACAATTGTAACTCTTTATTGGTATTACTGCACTTGTGTTGGTGGTCCCTAGCCATAGCCACAGTGATTGAAATTTATACTCATTTGCATTATGCGTGGGACTTTATCCCCCCTGCTTTTTTTCTCTAGAGCCAGTTTGATGTAGTGGTTAAGTGCGCAGACTCTAATCTGGGAGTTTGATTCCCCGTTCCTCCACTCTCAGTTGCTGGGTGACCTTGGGGAAGCCATAGTTCTGTCAGAGGTGTTCTTGAAAAGAGCAGTTTGTGTCAGAGTTCTCTCAGCCCCACCTACCTCACAGGGTGTCTGTTGTGGGGAGGGGAAGGGGAAGGGGTTTGTAAGCCGCTCTGAGACTCCAAACGAAGGGCGGGGTATAAATCCAATCTCTTCTTCTTCTATTGTGTTGTTTTATCTTTTGACTTCACTTTGTAAAACTAAACCTTTTTTAAAAAAGCTTTCTTTCTGCTCCCTACTCACAAATATATATCTACCAGTTTGGCGACCACACAGTTAACAAAGTGGACCCTGCCCACAGAAGCTTTTGTCACAATAACAATGTGATTGCATTGTTACACTCTTCTGAGTCCATTGATATCAGCGGGTTTAGAAGGGTGTAGTTCTGCTTAGGATTGCATTATAAATGTGTCTTAAGTACCACAAGACTCTCCTAATTGGTTTTGCATGTAGTTAAATCATAAGAAATTGATGAACAATGTAACTGCAGACATACAGCACTAGTCCAGTTTGCTGTGATGATCATGATATAGTGGGTTTTCAGAAGGTTTTTAAAAAGTGTCCTAAGGTCTTATTTCTTTTCTTTTTTTTAATATTCTAGGTTTATAATTCAACTCTCTAATCTTAACAAGAATTACACTCAAAGTTTGTGTGGGTAGAGAAATTTCCAAAGGTGGCAAAGTTTATATTCTATAAATCAAATGTTAATAATGGAATGAAGTTACCGAATATCTTTGTGCAGCATTAAGCATCTAGATCAGCAGATGCTCGGGAGTGGCACTGACTACATTATTTGCTTGACCGAAACAGGAACCTGTTTTGGATACAATTGCACCACAGTTTATGGTACACGCCTACAGAAGTTGTAAACAAAATATCTCAAAGCTTATAAAATTTGTATTAAATCTTTCATTTTAAGTTAGGGGGAAAATACGAAGGTGCTAACTCCAGGACTTTCCCCATCAGACTGTGTAATATTATTGTAACTAAATATTATTAGTTACCATCAGACTGGTATTGTTTTTGTAACAGGGTGTCTGTTGTGGGAAGAGGTAGGGAAGGCGAAGATTGTAAGCCACTCTGAGACTCCGAGTGAAGGGTGGAGTATAAATCCAACTCCTCCTCCTCCTCTTCTTCATGTTCTTCAGTGCATTTAGTATACAGGGTGATAGGTCAGCTTGGGAAAATAGCAGCTTGATGGAGATGAGAGCGCTGAAAGCTGAGACATGATCACTTCACTTGTTAGTTTTCTAAAACTAAATTTGGGATATAGGAATGTGGATGCTTTTTTCCCTTTTAATTCCCTTGTGTGGTTGGGAAGGCCATTTTTATACCACCTATTTTCTTTGCCAAATTTCCAATTTTAATTTGTTTCTCTTATGCCATTACAACATTTTTATGTTATTTTTAATGCAATTGACACAAGAATAAGGCATCGATATTAACAGGCAAGCCTTTGTACAGTTACTCTAAGCCCATTGATTTCCATGGATTTAGACTGGAGTAACTATGCATATATTTGCACTGTAGTTCTCTTGAATGCTATGTGACTGGGAAAAGGGGCAACTGCAGTTTCATACTGAGCATAGAGAAACCATCAAAGGAATGTGTACTTTTGAATCGAATCAGAGTTGTCATGAAATCTGGTAGCATCCAGTATCAACTAGATACTTTTAAACCATTGATCTTTTTTCTGATGAACAAAGCTTTAAAAGCATTACTTGTCATTTGACCATCTTTAAGGGAACTTTCTGTCTTTGAAGAAGCACTGATTTAAGACAGACTTGGGGTTTTAGTAAAGATCCATCCATTATGACTTGATAGTAATCTCATTTCCAAATTAGGTGGGTATGATGATTTCAGATGATAAGTAGAGTTGGGTATGGAATAATTGTTTAAAAAGGTATCTATGCAGCTGAAAGAACTTTTAAAAAACCCTCATGTATCAATGGTACTTAACCTGTACGGACTACAGCAGATTTAATGTGAATAAAAATGATTGCCAGAGGTATGTCCCCCAGAAAGCATTAGGCTTAATGGATCAAAATCTACTGGTGATCTCTGGCCCAAAAGATATCCTCGTAGCCTCAACCAGAGCCAGAGCCTTTTTGGCTTTGGCACTGGCCTCATGGAACGCTCTCCCAAGTGAGATCTGGGCCCTGTAGGAGCTGATGCAGTTCTGCAGGGCCTGCAAAAAAAGATGTTCCACCAGTCCTATGGTTGAGGCAGCGGCAATTCCAACTCCACTGGCCTTCCCTGCCCTGCCCTTGCTTTGTTGCTCAAAGTAACAACAAAGGCACTGTAATAAGATGCTAAATAAAATAAAATTCTAATTAAACTAATTTATATTTTGTGCAATAATTTTTATATGTTAAAGTATACAAAGATATACAAAAATATACAAATATATTTTTCAAAAAACAATTACAATACGAGTCAACATGGAAAGAAGAACCATTTGAAAGCAGAATCACATGAAGATCCCTGGTATAAATTCATTCATTTCGTTAAACTTCTTCAGTGAACTGAAAAATTGTACAAATAAATTATACTACAAATTTTTTTAGGCTTACCCAGTATCAGTAGTGATACAAATATATTTTTCTCTCCAAGGTGTGTGAATGCCAGAGTGGTAACAATCATTCCTATAAAAGAATCACAATTTAAT